AAAACGAACATGAATCAAATTAAAAAAAAAAGAAAATTAACAATTGTGAAAATTCTGTTAGGAAAAATAGTCCTGTTTCGCCTCTTGCCCCTGGTTTACAAGTTTTATTTTTGTTTTACATCCTATCGCAGTGCGACAGACGATGCATACGTTGAAAATTGAAAAAGCAATTTTTTAAATGTTTTCACGTAAATTTTTATGGAATCGCGACATCGCGACGTTGCGATGCGAGGAAGTAGGAGAGGCTGCGGTGGAGCGAGTGCCACATGGCTCGCGCTCACCGGTGCAAAAGAGTGCGGATTACAGTACGCCCGCTCGGCGCGCGTGCCGACTATGGCGGCGAGCTTTGGCGGTGAGGGCTTTGTAGTACGTCTGCCCCGATTCGGACCAGGCCGATACGTTTGGGCGGGGTTTCGCGCTCGCAGCGTGTTGGGCTTGCGCTACGCTTGCGAGTGCGGCCCCGGGCATTTTGCCAGGTGCCGATCAATACCGCGTTTATCGGTCTCGATGTCGTATTTTTGCCGTTTCCGGTGGTTTTCTCGCTTTTTTATAACGTGCATCTGATTTCATCATTCATTCTTATTGTTAGATGCTTGTGCTGACTACTTTATAGCCAAAGAGGTTTGCAAAAATAAGTTAGCTCATTCTTTATCCTTGTTGCTGCCTTATTCTGTCGCATTTTGCGGCGCAAATGCGACCCGGCATATCAATTGTTGTTTGCGCAGCGTCCATTTTGGACGCTACGCTTATTTGTATTATGTCTGATAAGGATAAACCAGTCTACCACTAACCACCTTCGTGCACATACGACATATTCTATGATTGTGGCGAATTATGTTTGCGAATACTTGAGTTTTGCTGTGAATCTCAATGAATGAGTGAACTGTCATATTATATCTTCTTGATGGAGAATTCTGTTTTTATGACAAGTTTGGGGTATTAAAGTTGAGACTAGTCCCTCTCTCAGCTCCTCACCTTTTCCATCTGTTGTTTATGGCTTTTGGGATGAAATTCACGAAGTCTTGTGCTATTTCGCATCACTCTTGCTCGCCACAATCCTCACAATCCTACCTGTATACATATGTAACTCCATATGCGGGTATCGATCTCTAATTTGGCTGCGTACAAATCGCAAATTCTCATTTGCCCGGTCGGCTGAGTATCATTTTTCAGAGCATGCGGTTATATGCCATGATTGCTGTGATGCTTGCGCTGTGACGCATGTGTGACATCTGTATTTCATGTGGTTTATTGCTGTAAGTCTTTCCAGTGATTCGAAAGTCGATTTACGTGCTTTTTTGCTTGTCTTGTATTCTGTTTATTTTTTGGCTTTGTCTTGTAAATTGCTGGATTTGGCTGCGTACAAATCCTGAATTCTCATTTAACATTAGCTGAGTATCATTTTCCAGAGCATGCGGTTTTCATGCGGTGATTGCGCTGTGACGCATCTTTCGGCCGTGTGATTTGTTGCTGAAATGAATCTCCAGTGATTTGCAGGTTTGTTTACATACTTTTTTTTCCTTTTTAGTTTTCGTGGCTTTCTTGTATAGTGTACGGCTCTTCAGTGATTTGGTTTACATACTTCTTTCTTTTTGCATACTTTTCTTGGCTTTCTCATGCATAGTGTGTGCTTGAGGTTGTTTCATACTGCAGTCGTTGCAGCAACGACTATCGATCGATCAATATCTTTTGCCCGCCTTCTGACTGCAGCTGCTGCACGACTGCAGTATGAAACAACTCTTACTGCCCTCCCTCCTTACTGATGAGTTCCGGGGAAAGCAAATTTTATATGTTTCCGTCTAAGGGTAGGAACGAAACGGATCTATGTTTGTTTCTATTATTTTGTTTTTGTAGTGTTTGTACCACGTCCTAGAGTTGTTTCATACTGCAGTAGCTGCAGCAGCTGCAGTCATATCGGAGCGGGTAAAGTATATTGATCGATTGACTGCTGTTGCTGCAGCGACTGCAGTATGAAACAACCCTTATTATTGTTGTTTAACTTTTTGTTTCATTGAATGAAGTCACAATAAATGTTTACGTAATGCACTAGTCGTATAGGCTTCTTTATATTACTTCATGTATAGTACATCATATGGACAAATCATCACATTTGCGTGAAAGTCAGTTTTCATCAGATGATAATACATATATATGAGTCATCGGTTTCGTCCTCGCTGTCTATATCAATAGACGAGGATGATGATAGATATTCATCTTTCATATTTATTGCCTCCTTCTCCCGCGCTTGGCTTACATGCCACATCGCCTCTCGGAACCATCCGACCGTCAGTTCTGTGGAAACAGTCGCCATTCATTGTATCGTCCGTTCCTTCACCTAAATCATGCTTTCATGTTGCATGGCCCTTTGTGTTTTGGTCACAATCATGGAGTCTTCAGGGGACATTTTTGTTATGCACGTACCACCTCAACTTTGTCGGCTGTCCTTCCGCATCTGGTTAAGAATGCTTTAAGCTGAGACCAGCACAACTCAATTGGGTTGAAAATGCAATGGAAGGGTGGGACCCTGATCAAATTGACCCCAAACTCCTCGCAAATTTTTTCCGTAGCATAACTGCGTACGGCAGAGTATCCCCCTCGCGCTTGCACATGGTCTTCAAGCTGAATGAAAAAGGTTGCTGCTTCTTCTAGTTGACTAGAGCTTACGCGTTTCAACAAACCGGCCTTCGTGGCATTTTCTTGAACCGTAACTCGCACTCGCGCACTTAGACATTCTCGTATCTGGTTTTTTGTAGAAGAAGTTGTTGGTATCTTCTCTTTGCCTTGAGTGATAAGGCGCGTTATCCATTACTAGACTAATGCGCTTGGCATCTGCACGCCTTATCATGTGAGCTTCACTCAACCACATCTCAAATAAATCCGAGTTCATGTCCTTGTGGTAGTCTCCATCTAAATCTCGCACCCCGCTGACCACCACCTTGGTGCATTCTGGGATTACACCGTCTTCCGTTATGGCGCCAACAACTATTGCACGCTTTCCTTTATTCTTGCTTGCTGCTCTTCCACCACATGAATATCTTTCCATAGTTGCACGTGACGCAAATATAGGTATAGTGTTGTCATTCCAACCGCGCCTTTTTGTCATTCCGCTAAATATCCATGTCTCATCCATAAAGACGATGTAATCCGCTTCTTCTCTAGCGGAAGCTAGCTTGCAGGTAACTTCTTCTTTTCGCGATGAGGTCGGCCCTTTCAAAAATGAAGGATTGCCTCTTGTTAATCTTGAACGAAAATCCGAGACCTCGAAGAGTCTGTGCAGGGTTGTTTTGGAAAGGCTGAAATTTTCGTAGACGGAGGAAAGCTCTTCATGCAAACTTCTTATGGTGATATCCCTCTCATCCCTCAAATTATGATGGACCGCTAGCTTTATCGTCACCCCACTCAGGCCCATGCTTGTTTAGTGCTGCCGTTATGGTATCTTTCCTTGAGTGGGTTTTCCTTCTTTCAACATTGTCAGATTCTTGGGTTCTCAACATCTTCGTGTATGTATCTTTTGAGATACCACATGCCAGCGTCGTCATGTCTCTGGGTGATTTGAAAGCCTCTCCTGCACAAGTATCTCTAAGTGTGCTTCTCAATTCCTTGAACAAGGCGTAAACGCTAGTTACTATCAGTCTTGCTCGACGTCCGTAGACGACCCTTTTTCTCGTAGAATTTGCACGTCTTCTCTTTTGCTTTGTGCTCTCAAGTTTCTGCTCATATGAGCGGACGCAGTGTGTGCACCTTTGAACTTCGAGAAGCTGTGCTCTCTGAAACAAATACCACCTATTTATCATACCACATTTTGTGTCAGCATGCTTAAGGGCAGACAAGCGGCGTTAGTGGCAATCGCAGATTTTGACATTGCTGAACTTGCAAACCACATGCAAAATCATAATGCAAACATCGTTTGTCAGCAAAGAGGTTGCAACAGTGGAGAATCACCTTTGTTCCCACAATGTGCAACCTTAACTGACTTAAACGTTTGTACATCATGCTACAAACTCACCAATCGGCATTCCAAAAATGCAGAAGTAGTGAAACATGAAATATAGCTCCACTCAGGTTAGGGAATATGCAATGACGGGGGAAGTTAAAGGAGTGCACACATATGCACGGGATGATGGTCGGGGCAGGGTGGAACGTAGATGCAGATAGAATAGTAGATAGAGAATAGTATGTAGGTCATCCACCTCCAAACGCGAATGAGTCGTTTTCATTTTCGAGCAGCATACCCAAGTAAATAAAACATCAATAATCAACATACACTCAAGACGTTAAGTGTACCATTCGTCTATTTTACCGCAGCACTCACCGTATTTGGATTGTACGAGATTTGCATTCCGTAAGCTCTAGTGTTGGATTATACGAGATTTGCATTGACTCTGTGAGCTCTAGTGTTTCAGTGGCTTTATCCGATACTTGCTGAAGCAACTCTATCCTTTTATGTAGTAAGATTATTAAGGGATAGCAAAGTAGTTGCTTTGAACTTACGGAAGGATTGTTCTCTGTCAACAACTCTATTCCATTGTTGGGTTCAACCATAAGTGTTTTATCGATTTCCGCATTAAGTGTTGCCTCGTCCGGATCTCTTCTCCTTGCTTAAGCACAAGTGTTATCAGTATCACCGCATGCATATCAGTACAATTTATAGAAAAAAATCACACGGCGGAGGTCCCGTGCCATTATTTTTACTTCCGGGATAAAAAATGTCACCTTAAAATCTCCTCTTGAGATAAAAGAGTACATAGAAAAAATGTCTCACATTTTCATAATTCTCCCACTGAAGATTTTCGGCGATGGTCTTGATGTCAACCCTCATACTAACTGGTAGTCGATGTGCGACGTCAGGCTTAATATGTAGAAACATACAACGACAATTTACATGAATGGACATCTTTAATTTTTGCAGAAATTCAGGAGAACGTAACATTATTGTCAAAAGCTGACTTTGCAACAATTTGAGTGATGTAATATGAAACTGATCGAATAGAAAATATTACTTACGGTGTTGAAACGCAAGTCGGCCGCTGTCTTTTTGATGTTAGGAATGATATGGTGAACCTACAAATTTTATAATGAATGACATTCGTATTGAGTGTCATGAGTGTGACTCACCGAACCGGGACGAAGTCTTGCCGCAGTGGCTCGTATATCAGGGCCGTGACCGCTATAGAAATTCTGAAAACAGCTTTACAGTATGAGAACACATAATCTGACATACCTGTAGCTCGTGCAGTGAACGGCTCGAGTGGTTTCCCGCATCGACCTGAAAAAAACAAAGTTAAAAAAGAAATAAAAACAAAGAATAAAATAAAATAAAATAAAAGCATACTTACCTCCATCACAGAAGAACTTAGCGGCATTCACTTGATCTTCTTGCATTACATACACGGGGGGCTAGGACAGGAAACAGATAGGGATTCAGTGACATGCAAAAAAACAAACGAAGACTTACAAGTTTTTGTCGTTTATCAACATGCACTTGTTTGATGGGAAACTGCAAAAAAAACAAAAAGAGATATGAGAATCAAACTCAGCCGCGAAAATACTAACCATGTTTTGATCAAATACTATTCAAGTGTGCAATGCCTAGATTGACTTAGAAATATCTGTAAGCAATTAATCTGATGAAAAAAGCAAGGAAAATGGACGAAAACGCGAAAAGAACTCCAACGAGACTGATTTTGGCTTGATACTTGGCATAATGCCTGGACGCTGCGCTCGCATACGTGACGCAAAACCTAAGCGACGCGGGCTCCCGCCATGCCAATTTTGGCCTGGTTAGGATTGGGGCAGACTGTACAGCGCCACGCCGCCGCCCAGGACGGGGGTCAGATAATCAGCAATTCTCATTGACTGCATATAAAGATGAATGACTTTAAAAGCAAAGTGCTAGAAATTGCATCTCTTACAAAAGCAAAGAAAGCAATATGCTTTTGTTTAGGACATTTCTGATGAAGGACGTTGAAAAAAGAGGATAGACATTGCAAAGTCCAGATTTTAGACCTTCAATTTGAACTGCGCTTCTCGGTGGTTTTCAGGCATGCGGTCTCGTGCACTTGGGATGTTTGACTGAAATCTTAATGTTGTGGAGCTGTTCATCGTGAACTAGAACCCGTTTCGTTATTAATAGGTAAGGCTGAGGCGGCCTATGTGGCTGCGGCGTACCCGCCGCACCTTGAATGTTTACGCGTTGCTATGTCTATTATCAATTTGTTCTCAGTGTTTCCGCGGCATGTACGCCGATATAAGGGGAACCCTTGTGTTTCTCTAATAATCAACGACTCAACGCGTTCCACTACACTTACCTTAACTTAGATCTTCAATCTCCATAAAAACCCATTTTTCTTTTAAAAAATGAAATAATCTTATATATAAAGCTGAATGTCTGTTTGTCTGTCTGTATGTCTGTCTGTATGTCTGTCTGTACGTATGTTCCGAATAGAAAATTCCATTTCTGAACCGATCTGGACCAAACTTGGCACACATACACTTCGGGCCCCGGCGGGTGTCATAGGCTACTTTTCGTCATCGATCGATATCGATTTTATCGATTTTTTGCAAAATTTGAGCTACGGGGCTGGGAGTTGGTACAGGGGGGTAATCGAGCATGCTGATTACGAATAAAATAATGACAGGGCCGGGCGGAGCCGGGTAAGCCATCTAGTGTAAAATAAATAAAAAGCAAAAATCACAGTTCCACACCTACAAAATGGTAAGTTGAGATGAAGGATTAGATTGCTTTTTGGACTTCTGCGATTGTAGCTCATCTCAACCCTACATTTCGCATACTGTGATTCAATGCACAAAGCGGCGTTGTGCAATGGTCGGAAAACAGCGTAAGCTCAAAGAACGCGTGATTTTGCGGAATGTACTTTTGAGCTTGAATAGAGGTTGCCACTTTCTGTACCACAGTCGAAAATGTTAATATTAATACAGTGCTGGCCAAAAGTTTGCAGCCACTCCAGAATTTTGCTATATCTTACTCTGTTTCGCATGAAACGATTCCAAATTATGACTTTACGTGCATTTCACACTACTTAATACTATGTCAAGAAATTTTGCAGTTACATGCACACCGAAGGGGTCTTTGGGGAAAATGGTGAAAACGGCTGAATTGAGGTTGGTCAAAACTTGCAGCCACTTTCTTCTAAATGTCTTTAAAAAACTTGTCACAACTTGTCACTTTCCAGTATGTGGGCTACAGATGCACCAATAAACCTTGAGATATGCAGTGCAGCCAGCTTTCATCAAACTCCCAAAAAGGGAACTTTACGGAGCAAAGTTGCTTGAGCGCGAATTGACCGCAAAAATTGATTAAATCATGAGGTTGTTGAGAAATCATCGGCTGATCTATGCTCCTATGAAAAGGTTGCACCATCTAGACGTTTAGTGGCGGTTTGCGAATGTGACAGAAAAGGCATTAGTTGGCATGTTTCAAAAACTACCATCACCTTAACTGAGATTCGGAGCACCTTTCGGCTCAAAAATTGGGCTCAGCGGTCTGAGAAGTTCTCAAACTTGTCTAGAACATTGCTTTGAGGAAGACGAGCATTGGTCCGGAGCTCGGAGAACTCTAATGAAAACATGGAGGCGCTACTGCCAGAAAAAAATTTGGACAGTCTTCACAGCTGCTTAATCCCTTTGGCAAATTAAACATTTCCTAGGTGTGATAATTGCAAAAAGTTATTTCTGGCAGTAGCGCCTCCATGTTTTCATTAGAGTTCTCCGAGCTCCGGACCAATGCTCGTCTTCCTCAAAGCAATGTTCTAGCCAAGTTTGAGAACTTCTCAGACCGCTGAACCCAATTTTTGAGCCGAAAGGTGCTCCGAATCTCAGTTAAGGTGATGGTAGTTTTTTAAACATGCCAACTAATGCCTTTTCTGTCACATTCGCAAACCGCCACTAAACGTCCAGATGGTGCAACCTTTTCATAGGAGCATAGATCAGCCGATGATTTCTCAACAACCTCATAATTTAATCAATTTTTGCGGTCAACTTGCGCTCAAGCAACTTTGCTCCGTAAAGTTCCCTTTTTGGGAGTTTGATGAAAGCTGGCTGCACTGCATATCTCAAGGTTTATTGGTGCATCTGTAGCCCACATACTGGAAAGTGACAAGTTGTGACAAGTTTTTTAAAGACATTTAGAAGAAAGTGGCTGCAAGTTTTGACCAACCTCAATTCAGCCGTTTTCACCATTTTCCCCAAAGACCCCTTCGGTGTGCATGTAACTGCAAAATTTCTTGACATAGTGTTAAGTAGTGTGAAATGCACGTAAAGTCATAATTTGGAATCGTTTTATGCGAAACAGAGTAAGATATAGCAAGATTCTGGAGTGGCTGCAAACTTTTGGCCAGCACTGTATAATGAATGTGTGCACCCTGTGAATACAAAAACCCATTTTTCTTTCAAAAACGATACTGTGATATCTAACATGCCGTGAGCGCATCTGAACAAGCGCCTGGCATACCTAGTAAGTTGGTGATTCGCTTTAGACGCAAGAAGTGAAAGGACAGACAGAAAGAGCCCAAGAATTGCATCAATACTGAAAAACTGCATTTAAAGAGAAATTTGACGAGATATGCTATGATCATTCTTTGAACGCCGGAGAAACAGCAAATAAAGAACAAACTCTGCGAGGAGAGACCGCACATCTATATCAATGAAAGCTTCACATTTACCTTCTTAGCGCGCGTAGATAGCTAGAAATGTTGCCTTTATTTAGATCTTTATTCAGTTTTTTATTCAGTGAGAAACAGAGATAAACGGTTGCACTGGTAAAGTGGTATGAGAAAATCGACAGAATGTCAAAGGCAATGTTACGACATTAATTGTGTCATATATAATCAACTGTGAAACACAACAGATATTTATAGAAGTCGGAAAATTATGTAGCGCAGTTCATGTAGTTTATTGTTTAGTACAACGGAGAAGAAGGCTGTAGTGGAGCACATAGGAATAAATAGATGATGAGGTTTTTTACCATAGATTTCCGTCATCATCGCCTACTTTCCAACGCGAAGCGAATACCCATGTTGCCTTTTCTCTTGGTTCAACTTCAAGTAGTACAAAAACTAGCTCCGAAGCTCATCGCTCATCAAGGTAGACTTCATAGCCGCACAGGCTTTCATTCTTATTTTTCTGATTTTTTCTTCATTGCTTAATCTTGTCGAAATTTTAAGTTGGACATTAGCGAATTTAGCTTCTTTTAATCAACTCTTTCCAACAGCACATAGTTTTTTTGTGGTTAACAACATATAGCGCCTCAACATAGACATAAGATGAGGAAACACAATGTTCGATAGAACAAACCAAGCTCTACAAGACTTAATGTCAACAATGCAGAATGAAGTGTTTGAAAGCGGAATGTTCACCATTGGTACCGCTGAGTAAGATTTATTTCAAAGTGGTGCTAGCACTCACTATTATTAGATACTACCCTTACCGACAAATGCGTTTTGAAGTAAGTTCTATATGAATTGTACACTGAGAAAGATTTGGTGTTGAAGTAGCACGAGGTACCATAATTGAAAAGTGAAGGCGAATGCAGTGACTGGTCTAGGATGCGTTTTAGTGTGCAATGGCCTTAGCTGCAAAAAAATGCTATTTAGCTCAAAAAACAAGGATAGACTAGGAAGAGACACCCAAAAAAGGAGAAATCCGTTGCACTCTGGTCTGCGAAAAGCATTTTCAAAGCGTAGACGCGCTGAACTTGCAGAAGCTTGATTTGGAAATCAGCTTCCCACCTTTCCTGTTTGGCTAGATGAAGCGATACCCAACTATTACTTGCTACCTAGGCTTTTCCTTTAAGCAAGAAAAGCTCATTAAATCCAGGGTCAAAGATTCGACTCTCCATCTGTTTCGCAATGCAGCTAACGAGTTTTTGGGAAAAGGCAACTCCTAAGGCAACTTCAAAAAATTTGGCTGCAATTAGCAAGTTTCCTAGACGTATTACGGAATTAGCGTGAAACTTCATTGTGTTCTCTCTCAAGTTTTCCGGATGGCAGCAAACACCTGCAAATTTAGTTTTGCTCAATTAGAGAATGTCGCATAGTGTTCTTAACACATACAAGTTTCTTGTAAGAACTGTGCTTGAATATTAAGAAAGGCAATTTGCCGCAATAACTTCACCCATGCTCCAAATTTACTTCAGTGCTTGTCTTGTTGACACAAATGCATCTAACTTTGATACACAAGCTTTGATAAATTGGTCCAAATACAAGGCAACCTTCATTCTACTTTAGTTCTTAATTACATCATTGTAGCTGGGGGAATGAGGGGAAGCTTCAATCGAACTTAATCCATTTTTTGGAAAAGCTAACTTTTTTGTAGCAAGGGGTATCTTTTTACAATCGCTGAGAAACTCCCTCCAATTGCGGCCT